CACTTTTCCTTCTCCCAATATGAGATTCCTAGAGAAATTCCATTTTCTTGGGGTCCCTTGTTTCCACCGTCTGTCAGCCAAAGGAAGGATACAGTGTCTTTTTAGAACATCTTCATTCTTGCAAGGTTACAATGTCAGATGGTAGACCTGAACTTAAGAGAAAGGTTATCTGGATGGGTCTGATCCAATCAGGAGAGTGCTCAGTGGGTTATTCCTGGAAAGATATTTAAAATGCAAGACTCTCTGTGCTGGTGAGGAGGTAGATGAGGAATGTGCTTGGCAGGAGACAGGTAGGACGCTCAGTCCTGCTGAGACTGGGGTCCTGCTCTGCTCTGTCATTGGCTCCTGGGCTTCCTGCTCTCCATTGAAAGAATTAGTACGAGACACACAGACTACATAGTAGAAAGGTAGAGTTTGTTACAAGTAAAGCTGGACACTCTCAAGACTGAGGGTGGGCATTGTGCAAAGGGACCATGGTCAAGGAAAACGCTCTCAGGTGAGAGTGGCTGGTGTCCAGCATGACCAGCGTTCCAGCCCACACTATAATTTTTTATTTATTCATTTGTTGTTGTTGTTTGTTTTCTTTTAAGAGACAGAGCCTCATATAGCCTCAGGATGACCTCACGCTCACTATGTAGCTTAGGCTGGCTTTCAATTTTTTAAAAAACGTTTTTATTTATTAAAATTTTTTTCATGTATACATTTTTATGTATGAATGATCTGTCTATATGTATGTTCACATGCTTGAAGAAGGCATCATATCCCATTATAGATGGTTGTAGGCCACCATGTGGTTGCTGAAAATCAAACTCAGGACTTCTAGAACAGCAGCCAGAGCTCTTAACCACGGAGCCATCTCTCCAGATCAGCTTTCAACTCTTGATCTTTTCATCTTTAGCTTCCAAGTACAAAGATTACAGAGTTGGATCACCAACCCTGGGCTGTATTTCTAAGATATTTTTCCAGGACAGGGTTTCTTTGTGTAGCATGGTTGTCCCAAAATAGCTTTGTAGACCAGGCTGGCCTTGAACTACCTGCTTCTGCCTCCTGAGGGCTGGGATTAAAGGTGTGTGCCACCACCACCATCACACAGCAATTTCTAAGGTTTCTAAGAGATAGCAATAGCTTTCTGAGGGGAAATCCAGTGTCTCTGTCAACTTCCTATTGCCTGCGAGATATACTTCTGAAGCTACTTCTCCAGCACCACGTCTGCCTGCACACCTTATGCTCCCTGCCACAATGATAATGGACTGAACCTCTGAGCTGTAGTCACCCCAATTAAATGTCTTCATTTATAAGAGTTGCCATAGTGTCTCTTCACAGCAATAAAAACCCTAAGACACATAATAGAGACTTAAACAACAACAACAACAACAAAGCAACAGTAACCCCTGCTTAGATAGAAATCTCATGGTCTTTGGGATGGTTTAGTAACTGTGTCTTTACCCATTGTAGGAGGTTAGACCTACATCCCATTTTTTTTTTTTTTTTTTTTTTTACCCATGACCCTGCAGTTCTGAGTTTCTGCTTGTACAGGCTGCTAACGAGGATGGGGCCCATTGTCAATGCCTTTAACCCTGCTAATACTTGATTTGCTACCTAACAGGGCCATAGGGATTAGAGTTCTACCTGGTGAACTTGAGAGAGGACTGGAGCTTCGGGTGCACACACAGCCTCCTACCACTGAGCAGAGAATCAGTCCCCCGTTTCTGAACTCTGAGCTCAGTGGGGCTAGTGAATTTCTACCGCATTCAGGCACTAGGAACGTTGTTCCTATGCTTATTAGTTGGAAGGAGCATGAACAGCCGCTGGCACCTGTACTTAACTCCCAATTCCAATGGAGATTTTTGTCCTTGTGGATGGAAGGAAAGTGACCAGGTGACAGTACCAGAGGAGAGTCCACCTTTCACTAGGGTCAGCTGTCTTTCAGTGTGAGGGCATTCTATATTTCTGTTAGATTTCAGCTGCAATTCCCTGACAACAAGCGCATTTATGCTCACCTAAGATAAGGACATTAGTCTCAATATCTTTGTCCCTTTGCAGCTGTTGGGTTGCAGGAGTACAACCCTGGGGTGTAATAATTAAGCATTTTTATTTTGGTCTGACTTGCTCCTTCACTCTGCTAATTAGTCTCTTGCTTCTAGATGACCACAGTCACCTTCAGGTAGTGAAAGATCATCTAACTATCAATTAGTGTATTTAATTCAGAATGCCAGCCAAAGCATTTAGCTTTGTTCAAGGTTATAACTACATTTTTTGTTGCCAACTGCTATAGTGTTGTTGTTGTTTTAAATAGGATCTCGTGTATTACAAGTTGCATTAAATTCATTGAGGTGTAGCAAGGATGACCTTGAACTTGATTCTCCTACTTCTGCCTGTCTAGTGCTGGGATTACGTCAGTGTATCACCACACCTGGTTTATGTGGCATTGTGGAGGGAATCCAGAGCTTTGCCCATGAGGCCAGTGCTCTACCAACTGAGTTTCCCCTTGACCTCTTCTATAGGCATTGGGAGAATTAATTTTCCTCCAATCAGACTTTGACTCACCAACCCCTTCCTGCACTGGCTCTTAGCTCTTGTGAGGTCAGAGGAAGAAGAGAGAAAGGGATAAACCCAGCTTCTCTTTCTGTGGATGCAGCATCCTCAGTAGAGAATGTGCCTCTGAGAGCCTTTGAATGACCTTGAGCCAGCTATGAATCCCACCACGTCCAGTCGGCACAGGATGGCTGGACCAGGCATTAACCTGGATGGAGTGTCATTCCTCAGGAACTGCCCACTTTGTTTTTTCTAGACAGTCTCTCACCAGCTTGCAGTTTGGGGAGTAAGTTTAGTTGTTTGGCCTGTGTGCTCCAGGGATCCCCATCAGCAAGGCACCATGGCTTGATTAATGGGTTTTGGGGATTGAACTTGGCTTCTCATGTTGCTTAGAATCTTTATGTTCATTTTCTCCTTCTTACTTGGTGACGATTTTAACTTCACAAAGGAAAGAAGAGTATTTTTAAAGGCTAGCATCTCCTGTCTGTGTTTGGTACCCAACTGAGGGACAAGGCACAGGCCATGGTATCCTGGATGCCAGTTGGCCGACACTGAGTGTTTAGCAAGATGACAGATGGTAGCACAGGAGGCAGAATTAGATGCAGAGTCTAGCTGGGGTGGCAAGAGCTCACCATGCCCAACACAGTGGAGACACAGTTTAGGGCCATTCTCCAAGGATGCAGGAAGCTTTCTATTACTATTATTATTATTGAGAGGGGCCGGGGGCCTGCCCCAGTGGATGACAGGTTCCAGAGAGGAGTGAGCAAGGCCATGGTGATGGTGAGAGTCTTGCAGCCTGGCTGACTAGCATCCAGAGTACTTCTTTATTTGTACAGAATTCAGTAAGCAGGGATAGTTTCATGTTGCTCCACAACCCAGATCACATCATTTTTATTCCGGACATGTGTTTAACTTTTTTTCTTGTGCACCTGGGGTCATAAGTTTACTCATCATTGGTAAACGGTGACAGAACGGAGTTATCTTTCGCAATCATTTTCCCTCAGGTTTAGTCATCATTGATAAACAGAGTTATCCTTCAGAATCAATTTTGCTCATCAACCCCCTAACTCAATTTTTAAAGGTATCTGGAGCCCGATCTCAGGCTGCCAGGCTTTGCAGCTTCAAGAACATTAGAGAGAAAGAAAATCTCCAAGCCAGCCTAGGGGGATTGCCATGTCCTGAGAACTGTATTATTAACTCTTAGTGGTCAGAGTGCCCAAGAAAATCCTCAGGCCAAAGCTGCTGTCGTTATTATTCAATTTTTGGCCTAATACAATGTTTACATTTTATATCTTTAGAGAATTGGCCACACAGCACCATAGTGGCTCTGCATGAGGTAACTTTTCTAACCAAAGAGGGGTCCTGACCCCTCGTTCTTTGATCACCTCTCCACACCACTCTTTGCTCATCAAGTCCCCGTGTAGGGCACAGGTACCTTCAGCTCATCTAACTTTGTTACTGTATGTGCCACGTAATCGCCTGAGTGTATAGTAGGAAGAGGCTTGTTATCTGATCTGTGGCCAACTCCTCTAGACCACCGAATCTTGCTGACATCTTAAAGTTCATTTTGTTTCGACTATCTTGTTTCTGAGTAAGCGCGGGGGCAGATGTTTTAAGAATATCTCAAAGCCTCATAAAGAAACCTCCTTAAGTGTGTCAGAATCTCCAAAGGATAAGGAAGACCTTCAAGTAGATAAGGATAGCTCCCTAAAAGTGGGAGGGGGAGAATACTTAGTGCTTTCCTAGGAAAGCCTAGAAGCAGTGCTTCTAGGAGAAGGTATAAATGATTCATAAAAAAATTTCCATCAATCCAATATCCCCAAGTTGTGCAAATTTTAAAAGTCCCCCAAGTATGCAACATGTGGATGAAAACCAAAAGGTGGCATAGCAGCCACCATGTGACTCAGCTCTGCTGGATCTTTGTCAAGCAGCTGTGCTGGCTTTATGACTTTTGTTGTTCTTATAAAATGTGGCCGCACCAGAGAGGGGGGTTTACATAACCCAGACTGGCATCAAACTTTCTATATAGCTAAAGATGACTTTGAACTCCTGATCCTCCTGACTATGCTTCCAAAAGGCCATGGTTACTAGCATGTACCCATCACGCCTAGTTTATGAAGTGTTGGGGATGGAGTCCAGGTCTTCACGTGCGCTAGGCAAGTCCTTTACCAACGGAACCAAGTCTCCATCCTCAAATGTCTCTCATTCTTTTATCAGGGGTTTTGGATTCTGTCACCAGCAGTCAGAGCCACTTCTTCCTGCTACGGCAGTACCAATGAGATCCTAATTCAATTCCTTTGCACAAACACCTCACTTCTGCTCTTAATTACTATGATATGCAGTAACGAAGTCTGCACCCCAAAAGTGCTATTCTCAGTTTTATTTGATTACAGCACTGAATTTGGTGTATGGAGACACCTGCTTCTTTCAATAGTTTGTTGATTATACCCTGTGCTCATTTTCAGATGCACACACGCCTTGCCTGTGAATGGCGGCCCAGGGCTCCAAACTGAATGAACGAAAGGGGGTGTCCCGAGAGAGGCGGCGTTAGCGTACCCCTCCCAGCCCAGGTACGCCCCACCCACTCAGCATCCCCCCCATCCCTGCAGTTACACTTGCAGATGTCCTATGACCTCCAGCCCATTTGCACATCTGCATTTGTTATCTGTGAAACAATGAACCATTGTTTGAGTTGAGGCTTTTCCAGCTCTAAAAGTTATTATTCAAATGCTCAGCTCTGTCCTCTCTCTCTTCAACAATCCACTCTCTGCATGCAGGGAGTGTGGTCATTCCAAGGCACCGTACAGCTAATTTGCTGTGAGTCTCTGGTCATGCCCCTAGCCTGCCAGGGACATCTGTAGTCAGCTAAATCATTTTAAGTAGAGGAATTAGACCAGTGTTTTCTATTAGGGAGAAACACTGTGGATCTCAGTATTCTGCACCATACCCATAGTGGTGGAATTGAATTGTGCTGGGGATTTACGCAAGAAAAAGAAATCCATCTTATTTTACTAGGTGCTTGACACTTTTAGTTCGAGAATTTATACTTCTGAACGCTCCCTTCATACATTGCAAATGTACTCTCAATGCGCCTCAGTTAGGTTAGCTGCCTATTCTGTAAAAGCGTGGGGGCAAAACGTGGGGATTGGGACCACTTTAAGAATCAGAAAGATGACAGAGAATTTCCATAATGATGAAATGGTTTGGAGAGTATCAGAAAGCTTTTATTTACAAAAGCAGGGAAATTCTGAACAGAGATATTCTCTTGCAAATTACTTCAGCTCACCAGGTTCTCCGCCCGAGATTTCCTTACCAGAAACCTAAATGGAAATCCTCCTCAATGGCTCAGCAGTTGCTGTATGTGAGCTCAGAAGACACATAAGTTTTCCTGCCTGTTGGAAATGCCACTTGCTATGCCCATTGGATACACGTGTGAGCTGGGATAACCAACAAAACAAGACACACCGTGGGGCAGATTTTTTCTCTTCCTCTGTCCCTCTCCCAACCCCTCCCTCACCTTCCTCTTCCTCCCTCTGTTGGGGGATCACAGCCTGGACCCTCTGCATGCTAGGCAAGTGGGCCATTATTGAGCCACAGTTCCTGCCTACCTGTGGCGTTGATTGGTTTGTAAGTAAGTGTTACAGTGAGGCTAAGGATGCTGAAGAACACACTTTTTGGAGCCACAGTGCAAGTCAAAAGGTCCTTAAAACAGTCTGCCTGTATTTCCTGTTGACTCACACTTTATAGTCTTTGTTGTTGTTGTTGTTGTTGCTATAAAACTGTGGGACGGGACAGAATGCTCCTCTGGATGAAGACAGCTTTGTGGGCAATTAAAACAGCAGGTAAATATCGGAGTGCAAGCAAAACAAATGTTGGAATCTAACTCTCTGATTCTTCTCTTCTACTCCCTCCCACTTGTGTGTGTGTGTGTGTGTGTGTGAGAGAGAGAGAGAGAGAGAGAGAGAGAGAGAGAGAGAGAGAAAGAGAGCGAGAGAGAGGGGAGGAGGAGGAGGGGGGAGGGAAGGAGGGTGAGTCACGTAGACAGGCTGGTCTCATAACGGGCCTGGCAGAAATGAAGATGCCCTAAAGAGACACTTGTGTCTCAGTCTGACATTAAACTGAAGCAATGGTCTCCAAAGAAATGGGGATTTCCCCTGGAATCTTAAGGCTGGGATGGGGTGGGACAGATCTCTATGTCCTATTACCAATGTGACAACATTGAATAAATTGCTTCCGTTTTCCAATATTAATCTGACTCTTTTAACTCATTTATTGAAAGAGTACCCAAACCTGTCTCGGGGCACAGGCCATGACCCCCAAGTTCAATAACAGCCTCAAGCCCAATATACAGCTCAGAATAACCTTGGACTCCTGAGATTTCTGCCTCCAGAGCCTGACTGTAGGGATCACACGCGTGCACTACTGGCTCCGACTGTAGGGATTACAGGTGCGTGCTACTGGCTCTGAATTGTAGCGATTTCAGGCGTGTGCTGCTGGCTCCAACTGTAGGGATTACAGGTGTGTGCTACTGGCCCTGACTGTAGGAATCACAGGCGTGTGCTGCTGGCCCTGACTGTAGGGATTACAGGCATGTACTACTGGCTCGGCTAAGGGCGGAACCTGGGACTTCCAGCATGCTAAGCAGGGACGTCCGCAGCCCTGTTGGCCAAATTTTGAGCCTTAATCTCTAAGATTAAGGGAAACTTAACTCCTGAAATGAAGTTGTGTCTACACAAAAGACTTCAGTGAATGTGATCGGGGTTGGAGCCTTATTACAGCTTCTTCCTGCCCACCTCCGAGTCACTAACCTCCTGATAAACAGACAAACCCTTTGGAATGTGTTAACCTAACAAAACCCTCTTTACTACCAGTGAGGGGGTGCCAAGGATGCTCTCAGCATCTGAGGGGTACACCTGCTGGAACAGCCCAATTAATGTTTCCATCAATGTCTTTAAAATTTTCCTTGATGTATAAATTGCTTTGTCCCGTTACCATAGCAACTCCACGAAACTGCTTCCACATCGGTACAGGGAACCTAAATCTGAATTCCCAGGCCGTGGTCACTCACGGTTTGGCTCCAGAATAAATTGTTGTCTATTTCCTTTGATTTGAGAGCTGTGGTTTTGTGTCAACAGTTTCCTAACGCGGATGCTGCAAACCGAGATACTCAGTCAGATACAGATGGTTCTGTGCTGATGAAGGCTTGCCTTGACAGTTTTTTACTTCACCATGTGAGAAAGTGGTGTGTAGTCTAGGAACTGTGCTTGGGCGTATGCAAGCAAGTGTGTGTGTGTGTGTGTGTCTACACGTGTGTTCATGCATGTGCAGGTCAGAAGGCAGCCTCACTGGCGTTACTCAGAAACTACTTAACTTTTTTTTTTTTTTTTTTGAGAACCTGACTTGTAGCTCATCAAGAAGTCTAGATTGGCTGATCAGCAAACCCCAGTGATTGTTCTGCTTCCCACCCCTGAGTTGACAAACATGGCCCAGCTTCTTAACATAGGTGCTGGGAAATGAAGGAAGGTCTTCCTGCTTCAAGGGCAAGCACAGAACCAGCCCGTGAAATAGACTCAAGGTTCTGGGAACCTGCCTCTTGTAAAATTCCCAGAAAGGAGCTAAGTTCCACCACACACCCCAGAGCTTCAGGAACAGGCGTTGGAGTTATCTCCCACCCTGCGGTTCTGAAAAGCAGTTTATCCAGAAAGACAGTTGATGGGTCTGCAGAAACCATTGCCCCACCCCACCCCTCACCCTCAGTCTCAGTGCTCAGACTCTGGACTATGCATTCTCCTGGACCCTCAGGCGCTGTGCGGCTGGCTGTAGAGGCGCCACCTCTCGGACCAATGAAAACTGGCCATCAAGGTGGAGCTGAGTTTTCTTGCTCCTATTTTTCCCCTCTACCCATTTAATTCAGACATTTTACTGACTGAGCCATTTCCTGACTTTTACATGCTCATCTGATTTGGATATTTTCAACTTACAGTGGCTTTATAGCCATAACTCCAATGTGAGGGGAGGGCCTCTGGGTTTTGAAACCATGTTCTGGAAACTGCATGCTTCTTTTCCCGAAAAGCATCCAGACCACTGAGTTTGTTGTCCAAGGCACTATCCTAAGGGGAGAGCAAGGACCCAGGCTGTCACTCCTGGCTCTTTCAGGGTGCAGGGACTGATATGCCGTGGCAGGGATGTGCAGTGAGAAGGCCAGCCTGAGCATCTGACTCTGGGACTGCTCAGGGTCTCCGCACATCTGTATGGTAAGTATTCCCAGCTGCCGGCTGAGTCCCCGTGAGAAGAAAGCATCTCATTCCCTCTCCACGCTTTGCTGCCCTCTGCCTCTTCATGTCGGGGGTGAGCATGGTGCCTGGAAGGGTTCAGAGCACCCCGGTGTGAACAAGCACCATCTCTGGGGTGGAGGGTCTTAGCCTTTGTTTCCTGGCTGTGATTCATGGTTCTGAGCACCTGTGACCCTGCCATCACCTGGCTGGCTTTCTCCACTTTGGCTGAATTAGACGGCCCAAGTTCATCTCGAGAGAATGCACAACATCCTCCCTTCTGCATTCACCCTCCCAAGGGGGCGGGCCAGAAGGGCTGGCTGACCGCATCACTGAAGATAGATGGAACTAGAGTGTGTTGGCACAGCTGTTGCATTTAGCTGAAGAACTTTATAAAATGTGCAACAAAACCCACATCCACCCTCCCTCCAAAAGACCCCCCCCCAGGAGCTGACGAGTTCCTCTCGTCCTCATGAGAGCGTCAGCTGCTTTGCCTGAGGTTTCTCATTTCCTGAGACATTGAGGAAGTTTGACCCAATGTTGCTTTTTTTTTCTTTTTAATATATTTTATTGGAAAGATGGTGGGTCATGCTGTGTCCCTAACCAGCGTGAATGGGGAAGCGTGCCCAGGGCGGCTTACTGAATAAACAGTCTCATGATGCAGATGAGAACTGAGATCTTGCCCCTTTTCTGTGTGTTCAGAAGCCAGGCTGAAATGCTAGCCTAGTGGCCCAGTGTGTTCCATGATGGGACAGCACCATCCGGGGCCTGAACCTTGATCTTAGCAGGCAGGGAGGGGGAAGCCAGCAAGCCAGCCGCTCCTTGAGAACGGCCAGTGACTAGAAAGACCAGTGCCACTTTTGTTAAGTGACTTGGCCATGGGGTATGCCTGGAATCTCTGCTTCATATATTTACTCCAGGATTTTGTTCTTTGGTCCAATTTTCAAAAGACTACTTGACTATTTTATGCCTGCAATTTAAAATATCGCTTGGCTGTTTTTGAGTATAACGATTGTTTAAAGACAGAGATCTCAATTTGTGGGTTTGGTTTCTTACTAAATAAATAAAAAAAAAGAGAGAGAGAGAGGGTTGACCCATTGTCATCACACTGACCGAGTTCCAAGGCTGTCCTGGAATTCATAGTTAATATGCCAAATCCAAAGGGTCTAAGTAACTACTTCCCAGAGTTTACGTTTTCCTCTGGAAAGAGCGGTAAACGTGGGTGTAAGAAGAGAACTAAAGAGCTGGGGAGGTGGTTGGGTTGGTGAAGTCCTTGCCTCATGTGCAGGAAGTCCCGTGTTCAATTCATCAGGGTCACATACGCTGAGAGTGGTGGCTCAAGCCTGTAATCTCAGCTCACAGGAGGTAGAGAAGGAGGATAAGAGTTTCATTCTCTGTGCACATATGGAGTTTGAGGTCTGCTTGGCTTACGTGAGACAGGCCCACCTCACCCCAAGAGAGAAAAGCAAAGACATTCACACAATATTCAACCTAGTGAATGGACATTTTGTGCCTTCTGGTGACAGTACAAATATCTTCATTCTTATACAGCCCTGTGGGACAAGACTTCTCTACGTCAATGGTTTAATTCACTCATTCTTGAAGTCATCCATGAATTCTACCAAGAAATATTTCTTGAGCACCAGTCTAAGTGCTAGCTAGGTACAGGGTCAGACGATGAGAATACATGGTTCTGAATAGGCTCCTCTGTTCCAGGAGTGAGATGATTTCAGCCAGACACCCAACATTAAGTGAGCATGTGGGACGTAGTGGTGTCTAGTGCCGTTCTGGGATAAAGTGCCGAGTCAGGACTGCGTCTGGAGAAGGTAGCAGGGACCTGTGTCTTATCAGAAGGCGTTGCTATGTGAATGGCACTGCCAGCTAAGAGTTCAGCAAATGCAAGTAAGAACTAGTCTGCTGCCAGTGGAATACTAGACATCCACAAAGAAGGAGACAATAAGGCCGGTGAGGGACTTGGTTAATACAGCCCTTCCCTGCGGTCATGACGACCTGAGTGTGGAAATT